TTGTCGTCGCTGGAGCGTTGTGCTTCTTACGACCGGCTCGCTGTACGCCTCGAGATCCAGGCACTATCTCCGGGCTGGCGAGCATTCTAGCACAGAGCCCTGCTGTGGAGGAGCGACTGCTACGAAGTAAGAATGGGACGGAGATTGCGGAGGAGTTGAATGGTCGTCGCTACCACACCCAAATCATAAACGAACACAATTGTCTGGGCTTCACTATCGCGACTGACCAGACGGCTAGTGAGAGTATGCGGACTCGAATCACCTCCGGGCCTATGAAATGGTGGGAGCCGATATCCGTCTCCATCTCCTGGCGGGTGACTACAGTCGCGCTGCCTCTGCTTGTCATCGCTGGGCTAGAAACAACGTACCAGATCTCGTCTCGACACAACGGGCTGGGCACTGTGTCCGGGGAATACATCCGATATATTTGGGTGTACATCCCCGCGGTAATCATGCTAGTAGTGCGCATCTTCTTCGACTCGATTCACTTCTCGGCTCTCGTGCTGCAGCCTTACCTGGACCTGCGACGTGGGGGGGTCACTGCACCACGAAGCATCATGGAGAATCACCTGTCCAGCCCGACACTCGTCTCATTCGTCAAGGCCACCCTACGGCGACAAGGTGCCGTGGGGGCTACTGCAGTCGCCGTGCTACTGGCCCCGATACTTACCGTGGCCGTCAGCGGACTATACCTCACCCAGGAGGTCGCGCACTCCCAGGTGGTCTCCATCGCTCGTGTCGACAGCTTCAACACCACCATCGACCCACATTATTCTACCTCCAGCAATGCAGGCGTGGGGCTGGCAGGAGCCCTGGTCGTTGCGGCCAATCTCTCTTATCCTGCTTGGACTTACGAGGAACTGGTGCTGCCGACTCTCAGTGAGGCGTCTCTCACCAACAAGCAGGGTCCTGTACGGTACCGCTCCGCCAACGGAAGCGTGGACCGTTCTTCTGTGGTGCAGTTGACGCTCCCCAGTCTCCGGGCCCGTCTCGAATGCCAGATCCTCGCCGAAGACACAGTCTACAGGGTTGAGGAGCCCAGCGCGCTCCTTTCCGCCTGGAACCTCTATCTGAACCTGGATCCCAACTGCAGCCAGAATATGTCGTCCAGCTTCGCAGTTAGCACTGACTATCTGACCATGAACAACACCTCATTCGGCTCGTTGCAGTACATGAACCCGAGCGTGGCGATGGGCCATTGTCCGACATTGATGGGGTGGTACGGCGTCTTGACGGCGAACTCCACGAAGGGGTTGCAAGGGTTCACCTGCGACCCCTACGTTGACCAGGTTGATGCCACCGTCACATTTGCCCTTCCAGGTCTACAGATCACCGGGGCGACCGCGAACGAATCGTCCCGGCGACTCTTCAGTGCCGAGTTTTCGTCGGACCTGCTGTTTCCCAATTATCTTCCGCAGGCGACCAACAACGAGAGTCAGGCATTTGACGAGTTTTTCTCGGCCATGATCCACGATCAGAAGACCCTCACGGTGGAGGAAATCACCGGCGCCCCCGACGATCTCTCGCGCTATCCAGCCGTGATCAATGCAACTCAGCACCTTTATCGCGTCCTCATGGCGCAAGGGCTCAATGGCAATTCGCGGATCTTCTCCGCCAATGCAACAACGCAACGATATTCGGGAGCGCTTATCCGGCCTAATCGAGTCCGGCTCATTCAGAACGGACCGTCGACGAGGATTCTCGAAGGCTGTCTGGCTGCCATGGCGCTCTCAGTCCTGGTTGCGTGTTACTTCTTGCAGACCAAGGAGGTCATCCCTGTGAATCCGTGCAGTATTGCGGGAGCGGCCTCGCTGCTGGCGGGGTCCGATCTGGTCAGGTCGGATGTGCTGCCGGCGGGGTCGGAGTGGTGCGGTGATCGGGAATTGTTGAGACGAGGGGTCTTTGCCGGATGGGTGTTTGGATTGGGGTGGTGGGATGGAGGGCGGTTCGGTGTGGATATTGGGAGGGCAGAGTGAACATTTTGATTTCCTACCAAGTATACAGCCGCTCTTGCCTCTACAATCGCCCACTGCATCTCCAACAACAATACCACCAAGGATGCTCGTCTACCACCTCCGCCCTGGAGCATCCCGATCTCACGTTCGGAACTGATAACAACACCATGATATTCAAAAAGACAAGCAACCATCCGAGTCAATTTTTGAATCACCCAAATCTCACAACCACTGGCAACATCTTCGCCTACCACATGACACTGGTACCACGTCGCTAGCCCCTTTTTTCGTGCTCGCTAGGTTGCGTGGTACTGTTTCCATGCCCAAGATCTTCATGGTTGTTCGAACCCGTCGATAGTCGCTGTCCGATACTCAATCACGCCCACCAAGTGCCACCGTATCCAGCTATTCTGGGATATATGCAACCATCCGTACATGTTCTTCCCAAAAGATGCCAAATGACCGCACTACCGCCTTCAATGATCCTCACCCACTGTTATGTGGCTGGTCGCAAGGCTGTTCTGATAATTCGAGGCTCGAACCCATTGATGGTTTGCAAGGATGGTAGTGCGCCGATTCTGGGCTTCGGTCATGTCAAAGCTCTCCGAGATAATACCTCGAGGGTATCGATCATAGGGTAGATTGGATTTCTACCAAATATTGTTTGGAAGAACATTGTCCCGAGGGCAAAATAACATCTACTACCCCTGCTACTACCGAAGTCTTGCTCCGAGAAAGCGAGCATGCGTCATCCCCTTCGGCCCTCCAACAGGAACAGCACCACTTCCCGCGTCTCACTTCCTTTTCTTCCTCGAAGCAAACGTCCTCTTCTTCAGCCCAACCCAATTATTCCCTTCCAGGTACAGCCCATGCTCCTCGACCAACCTAGCAAACTGCTCGTCCCTCCCCAACACCTTCAGATCAATCTGCAGCAACCGGGCGATGATGGGCGCGAGGTCATGCGCGGCGCAGACCCGGAGCTCATCCCCCCCACTACTCATCGGCCGCTTCTTGCGGTGGAGGCGCTCGAGCCTCTCCCGGAGTTTCTCCTCGATCGCCTGCTCCACCGTCCGGCCGTGCACGCCGCTCGCGTTGGTGTGCTTGATCAGCTGGGCCTCGTCCCAGGCGAAGTAGGGCTTTCCGATGTAGTACGGGTCGGCCACTTTGCCCAGCCGCTTCTGCGATGCGGGGTGGTTGAAATTGCTCAGATCGTGCAGGAGGACGTGGATGCGATACCAGAGGGTTGGGGAGGTGGTGGCCCCGTGCTTTAGGTCTGATAAGATGGGAGGAGGGGGGAGAAGGGATTGGGATTGGGATGAGGGAGAAGAGGGACCAGGCACCTCCGTGTCAAGGGAGGTACTAGCAATGATGGTGGGCTGCTGGGTGAGAGATCGAGATGCTCCGTTTCAGGGCATTGAGGTTGGATAGCATTGTTTTGGTTCTGCAGGGGACTGTGAGGGGTTTGGGATCGTGGAGAGGAGTCCGGCGCGGAGGTCTGTTCCGAGCGTCTGTTTTCATGGTGACGCATGTTGGTTCCGTTGACATCTTAGGGTTGGGCTCTGGGTTGGATGCTGGGGGTTTGCTGCAGGGATATCTGCCGGGTGACTATTCTGTCCTGGTTGCTGGATGAAGCTCTTCGGCTGTTATCCATTCATGGAGAACGTAAATCGTAAGGATTGCCATCTGGGGCGTTGTGGGAATGCGTTGTGGGAACGCGTTGTGGGAACCCTGGACCTGTTACCCGTCGCAAAGGTGTACTGTGCAGGCAGTGTAGGGTCCTAGTGGTTTGTGTTTCGTCGACCGCCCGAGCAGCATGAGGCTAAACTCGGTCGATTGCGATCAACAGATAGAGATAGCATCGCAGGTCAATCAAGAAGATATCTTGGTGGCTAGAGCGATGCGTCTCATTTTGCCAGGGACACTTGGAACTCGTGGCTTGAGTGGCTATGGCTTGTGCTATCACATTACTCGGACTCAATAGTCAGCTGTTCTTCAGTCCCCTTCGCTTGCTTTACCCCATTCGTTCAACCTATGTTCGGTCTTCTTTTCCACCTGCGAAGTCTTTTTTTCAATTGCTTCCAAGTCTAGGCTCTGCTAAGTCATCCTTCAAGCCAAGACTTCGTGTCGGACCCCAATTACTCCGTCGGGGAGTAGGAGGGTCAAGGAGAACAATATCGTGTAAGTGACAACTGTCATGTAGAGATGTATCCTTTTAATGTCCAGATCTATCCATCGACAGCAAAACTCTTTACGACGGTCTTTGTGGCCTATAGAAATGTTTGCTTGAGCTTAGGCCGGCGATCAATAGCGGGAGGCAGGCGGTGGCATTAGGGCTCAGCTCGAGGCCGATCGGCGGGTTCCAGACAAAGAGCTCGTGCCAACATCCTGGTTCCTGCATGCGTCTACATCCTGACCAGGGGGGTTTCAGGTCCATCCTTGTCGAGATGCGGACTGTTCATTCGGCCAAGCGAGAGCCCGGCAAGCGACCATTGACAGCCACTTCACATAGACTACAAGCCATCGCCACATTGTGGTCCATACCGGGGAGAGAACAAGGATACAAGGTTTGATGCTCGAGTACTCCGTAATGCGCATACTAAACCTATCTTCGATGCGTTCACTCACCACTCACTCGCAATTCCTTGCAGGAACTTCTCGCCAAATGCACCTAACCTCTATTCGATGGTCAGAGGCATCTACGCCTGCCAGGGTAGACGCTTATCGGTCTGAGCCTAGATAAGAATTTTCCGATCGATGAGAGCCCGTCAGTGCATGATTCTAGAACATGAGTTGGGTTTCGCATCTCGCTCACTAACTGTCAGCTTTGCGCCGATCACCGTGATGGATCAACATATTCGATCGGAGTGATTCTTTGTTGACGGGCAATAGTTTCTCACTAGTTGCAGCTGCTCAGCTGAAGTTTACCTTTGTCGATCACTTAGTCCAAAATCCGAATACCTTCAAAATCGCCCTCCATGGCCAGGACCGGGTATATATATATCACGCCCGCAACCCTCCCGGGACTGTCTCATCACCCTTCATCATCCAGGATCAAGCAGGTCAACCATTCTTTGTCTCCAGTTTCCTCTGTCCTTTCTCTTCACCTCAACTTGTCGACCCGTCATTCTCTTGCCCTTGTCAGCTACACGTTAGACACTCTCTCAACAATGAAGGTCTCTTTCTTGACGGCCCTCGTCCTGGCCGCCTGCACGGTGGCCAGCCCCGTGGGTCAGCCTTACGCTCGCGACAGTGAATGTATCTGTCAGCCCAATGGCGGTCATGGCTCTGGCTCTGGCTCTGGCTCTGAGCCCCCGCAGCCTGCCCCCGAGTCCGAGTCTCCTGCTCCTTCAGCCTCCCTCTCTCCCGGTGGCTCTCCATCCGGTGTTCCTTCTTTCCCCCGCAATCCAGCGCCTGCTTCCTCCCAGCCTGTCACCCTTCCAGGCTTCCGGCCCGCTCCCTCCGCTACTGTGCCGTTGGCAGCATCGTCTCCGAATGCCGAACCTTCTGGACGGCCTTCGGGTCTTCCTGGATCCACGGGCTCTTCTGGTCCCTCTGGTCCTTCTGGTCCCGGTGGCTCCGGATCTTCCAGCCCATCAGGCCCTGCAGGACCTAGTGGCCCCTCTGGATCTGGCCCCTCTGACCCCTCGAATCCCTCTGGTCCAGCCGGTCCTGGAAGCTCCCCCGGCGCGTCCGGCGGTTCTCAACCATCTGCAACCGTTCCCTCCGGACCTGGCTCCTCGACCCCCGGCTCGACCCCGTCGGGATCTTCGTCGTGCGAGAGCGGTCACTGCCACGGCACAGGTCATCTGATTCAGGATTTGGGTCCTCAGGCGGATCGCCTGTTGAAGGTCGTCGGCAGCGGTACGGAGGAACTGCTCATCCAGCTGAGCGACCCAGTTGCTGACCTGCTGGCCGGACTCGGCTTGGTGGGTCTATCTCAGCCCGTGGGAAGCCTCCTCCGAAGCGCCTCCAGCATCGGTGAGCTGGTGTCGGACTTGGGTCAGCCCGTGGACAACCTTTGCATCGTGACGGGCAAGGGTCTTGGTTTCTTCTTGATCGAACTGGACCACCCCGTGGCTGATCTTCTTCGCGGACTTGGCCTTGACGCTCTCGCCCAGCCGGTGGGAAATGTGCTCAGCGATATTGGCAGCAGCCTTAAGCGTCGGGCTGATGTCTCGAAGCCGGCAGGTCTGCTCGAGGAGCTGGCCCCCGTGGTGGATTGCATCCTTCAAATCACCGGCGAAGACCTCAAGCCACTGCTGATCCGTCTGAGCAACCCCGTGGCGCAGCTCCTGGTCAACCTGGGCTTGAACGAGGCTGGGCGCAGCGTGGGCCAAGTGATCCGGTCGGCTGCCTCGGTGGGCGACCTGATTGCCAACTTGGGACCGGTGGTGGATTGCCTGCTCACGGTGGTGGGTGAGGACGGTGGTCTCCTGCTGATCAAGCTGGATCCCGATGTTGCCGCCTTGGTGTCTGGCCTGGGGTTGCCGGCTATTGGAGTGCCCGTGGGTACCATTGTCGGGGAGCTGGGAAATGCTTTGTAGAGTGTGGTGGAGAGAGCATCTCTGGAAAAGAAGGGCGATCACTTATGTCACTTCCCCACATGCACTTTTCTGTATACTACTACGGAGTACGTACTAGGTACTCCACACTCTGACCGATGTACCGATATACCGATAGTACTAATAATTAATGTCACGAGTTAGTTAGCTACATAGCGTCAGCCATTAGTAATCCCATGGATTCCCGGTGTCCGCGTCACTGGGAGGATAATCTCATCCCCGGGAGTAAGACTGAATCGCCCCACGGGGCACAGTTACCGATCTGTGGGGAAATAATGGACCTCTGCGCCAAAGCCCGGGGGAGGACCAAACCAGTCACCGGCGAGGGAAGCAGCAGCATTAGAATTCGCCTCTCCGGGCTGGTCGGAAGGCAAGAGGCGCCAGTCGAGGCCCCCCGTTGGATGGAATGTGGGAAATCGTGGGGAGGAAAAGCAGCACGGGTAAGATTTACTCCGCTTTCGCCAGTCCGATTGCCGGCTGCCATCCCATATTTAATGCCCAGTATATCCTCTTCCACTTGGATCTTTTGCACACTGTTTTACTCTTCTAAGAACAATCTCCTCTCCTCTTCTCTTTTCTTTACTATTGTTCGCATTCTCCTCTCCTCTCACACAATGGCTCAGTCCCCGCAAGATCTTAAGGTGGCCATTTTGGGCGCAGGTATGGGTGGTCTCACCTGCGCTCTGGCTTTGGCCCGGGAGGGTTTCAAGAATATCGATGTCTATGAGACGGCGCATGACCTGGGCTTTGTTGGAGCCGGTATCCAACTTGCCCCCAACATGGCCCGCGTCCTCGACCGTTTGGGTGTGTGGAAGCAGATTGAGGCCGAGGCTGTCAACATTGTTGAGACCAGCGTCCGGGGTATGTTTTCTTTTCCTTTTGTGATCGGGTGGATGATTGAATGAGTGACTGACCCATCATCGTGCAGTTGGAGCGACGGATGCGGAATTGGCGCACGTACCGCTGGAATACATTGCGGATACGTATGGCTACCCGCACATGGTTGGACACCGTTCCTCCCTCGCCAACGGCCTCTACCAGGGCTGTCTTCGCCACCCCGACGCCATTCGCTTCCACTTTGCGACCACCGCCCAAGATGTCACCTTCGGCTCCAAGCCGTCCTTCAAGGCCGTTCCCCGCGACACCGCCCAGGAGCCCTACCGCGTCGAAGCCGACGTCCTCCTCGGCGCCGACGGCATCAAGTCCAACACGCGGGTTGCCATGCTCGACCTGCTCGGCATCCAGGCCGGCGTCAAGGACACCAACCAGGCCGCGTACCGGATCATGATCCACAAGGACCAGGTCAAGGACGACCCGGAGCTGCTGGCGCTGATCAGCGGCAACAAGGTCACGCGCTGGATCGGCGAGAAGCGCCACATCATCGCCTACCCGGTCTCCAACAACACCATCTACAACCTCTCGACCACCCAGCCCGACATCAACTTCGCCGCGGCCACCAACGCCACCTACACCACCCGCGGCGACAAGTCCGTCATGCTGCAGGTCTTCGGCGACTTCTGCCCCATGGTCCAGCGCATGCTCGGCTACGTCCCCGAGGGCGAGGTCTGCGAGTGGAAGCTGCGCGTCCACGAGCCGCTGCCCACCTGGGTGCATGAGTCGGTCGCCCTCGTCGGCGACTCCTGCCACCCGACCCTCCCCCACTTGGCCCAGGGCGCCGCGCAGGCGATTGAGGACGGCGCCGTCATCGGCAAGGTCCTGGCCAAGCTGCCCGACACCACCCCGGCCTCGATCCACAAGGCCCTCAAGGTCTACGAGAAGATCCGCAAGAACCGCGCCTACGCCCTCGTCGAGCTGGCCGCCGCCTCCGGCCGCGCCCTGCACCTCGGCGACGGCGCCGCCAAGGAGGAGCGCGACAAGCAGTTCGCCGCCCTCCGCGAGGGCAAGGGCCCCGTCCCCGACAAGTGGGCCGACGCCGACGTCCAGCGCGAGATCTATGGGGTCGATGTCACCCAGGAAGCCACGGAGCGCTTCGATGAGCTGTTCTTGGCGGCGTAAGCTTTTCCCTGCCTTTTCTTCCTCCCTCCTCCTGTTGTTTGTGTTTCTGGCCCGGCTGCCAAGTTTTCCCCCCCTTTGCGTGTTTTGTACATTTTTTTTTTTCGGTTCCTGTATATAGAGCTGATGGGAAGTTTCTCTTTTTCTTGATACAAAAGATCAGGTCGTGAAGCCAAACTGGTCTGAAGCTCCTTTTTTTGTTGTTCTGGTGGAAAGCGATATTAGCATTGTCTGAAACATCCAATGATGATTTATGATCCTCTTCTCTTCGCCTTTGTCTGCTAGTTGGTGTCGTATGCTGTATGTGCTCTCGTAGAATAGTGGGGAAGCTATAGAAGGGATCTGATATTGACCCCGGATTTTCCCCCGCCAGTTCCTAGAGAATGTCCCAGTGACACGTAGTGTAGTTGGGGACTAATGTCTTGGTGAGGGAATCCGATTTGTATGGCCAGAATGCCTGCTGTGAGACCTTGTAATGCTTGTTGGCACTGTATGGTATGGTCAGACGTTGTCTAGTATGGGAGTGGTGTCAGCACAGTAGTTGTTTGTATTCGGTTTGTTCTTCCTCCATCTTCGTCTTCTTCCCATCCGTCTCTCCTCTTCCACTCTCCTCTTCACTCCAGACAACCCGACTCACGCCTCGTTCATCTTCGTCAAAGACCTTGCTGCGTTGTTAAGGATCAAATCCACGTGAGATGTCGCAATAATCATAATCTCGATGGTCAATCGAGTCTCGCTGCTACGTTCCACCGTGCGTGGTTGTGTAGCCTCTGCGCCGCGCCACACCGCCACAACATCCGCAACATCATCCGGACCGCGATCAGTGTACAGTACTCAACCCTCTAAAAACATATGTCTACACGCAGAGGCTAAATATACTTGAAATGGTTAGTTACCCCGAGGCCTCTTTTATCCTTGCGACAATAGCCATGCATGCGGCTAGAACCGCCTGACTACTGCCGGTCGGGGTAGACTGGACTCGGGAAACGTACTCGTGCTTCCCGAGAAAAGATTTTGGCTGACGAACACCCCGATTAGGCTTGTATAGTACCATACTGAGTGGTGGATCCAGGTGTTTTAAGTCGGACTAAGAACCAAATAGGCAGGAGTCTCTCCAACACCCACTGCCACTGCAGCACTGCTACACTGAGCGAGTCACTAGCGAGGTTTATCCGCCGTGCCCCCCCCCCCCCCCCCCCTTGACCCAAAGTCATCTTTTTTCCTGCATGTTCATTGGACCTGGCCGGCAGTTGATAGTTCCGAAGTGGCTTCTCGCCAAGACATCTGACAACCCTCAACAAATTACGGCAAAAAATACCGACTGGTCAAGCAGCTCAAGTCAGAGATCATGATTGGCGATTGTGGGCTCATTCCGCGGGAAGGACAAGGCTAGTGTTTTGGCTCCTGAAGCACTAGTCGCGTGGGTTTTCGCGATAGGTTTCAATTCGCTTGGGTTGTCTTCAGCATCACACTACGGAGTACTTCGTTGAGGGTGATGATCTGGTCAAGGGGGAAGAGCGAGGCAGTGGTAATTTTACCTTTGCAGTCGGTGGGCCACAGAGGTTTACTCAACCACCCCTCGTTGAGTGGCATGTCAAGTCCAGGTATACTCTTCACAGCCTATGCTGACTGAGCTTACTTCCATTGTCCTGTCTTAGTGGGAGTATTAATCCTGTGGAGACGATCTCAGGGCAACTTGGCAGATTGTGGTACGATCTGGGGTATTTCTATCAACCTTGAACTGACACGCTTGGTCTAGATGACTTTCACGAGTCATGAATAACACCGCCAAGCTTGAAGGGAAGGGTTGTCCAGGGGGAAGACTATCTCTCGTCCTTACTTGCAGAGACGATGTCTGCCTTCATGGCACGACGCGAACACCCAAAAAAAGCAAACCCCGAACTGAATGCGGGCACCCAAGCCGAGGACGTCGTCGACGGATCTTTGCCAAGATGGTGATTGTTGGGACCCGAGCAGCTGGTTACAGTGTGGTACGTGTGGACCGAATTGGCCAGTTTTCAGATGGAAAACTCCTCCTTTGGCCATCAGCAAATTAAAGTTGCTCCCACATGCGGCAGCTATTTCAATTTTTTTTTTCTTCTTTTCATTCGGGGGTCCGGCATGTCTTGGCATGTGTTAATCATCCATCCAGTTTTGGCGTCGGTTCTGGATGCCAGGGTGTAACGTTGCCATTGTTATCATTCAACTTTGATGCCTGTTCGAGGTCTTCTTTCCTCTTGTCCTTGTTCTCCTCCTCTTCCTTCATCTCTTGGTTTGCCTCTGCCTCTCCGCTTCCCTTCATGGTTGTGACATTGACATGCAGGAGTCCGCTGATCCCGGGGCGGCCGATGACCCCGTAAAAGGCCTTATTCCTGCTGCCGCGCAAAAGGGCAAAGTGCCCATCCCCCGGCTTGTCCCTCCATCACTCAAAAACAATCCGCAGCGCACTGCCCGTGCGTGCGTGGCCTGCCGGGCCAGGAAGACCAAGTGTGACGGTCGCAAGCCCGTGTGTAGGCAATGTAGTCGTCTTGCTCTCGACTGTAACTATGCGGGGTCAAAGCGTGAGCGCCAGCAGCTGGAGCTGGATTCGGCTCGCTCCCAAGTCACAGCATATGAGTCTTTGTTGCGGGAGATCATCTCCGAAACTGCCCGCCAGGACATCAAACCCATCGAAGAAATCATCAGTGTGAGCGGCCTCCCGCCCTCGTCGAGATACACATTGCTTACAGTCGCAGAAACACCTTCAAGGGAACACCGATGCATTCTCCACGCTGATGACCGCCCGATCGCTATCGGATCAGCATCTGCCACAGCCACTCCCGGGCATCTCATTGGCCCGTATGCACCTAACCCTGGCCTCCAATCGTGCCAGCGCAACTCAACCTCTGCAGGATTGTCCCCCGATCCAAACCACCAACATCGGTCACTGGACTGACCTTGTCGACAATACCACTGCCAGCCATCTTTTTTCTCTGTACTTCACCTGGGACAACCCGACGTGGCACCTCATCGACCAGGAGCTGTTCCTTCGCGACCTGGAGCGCGGTCAGACGGGGTTCTGCTCAGCTCTGCTAGTCCACGCGCTTCTATTCTTCGGCTGTGTAATCGCTCTTCCGGTCCTGTTATGTTTCTCATGGGTAACCCCGACTAACCTGGATGATAGAGTTTCTCTTACCATCTGGCGCGACTCACGGATCGAAGGGAGGAGAAGGTTTTGGGCCAGAAGATATATTCGGCCTTGCAACGGCTTTGGAATGTCGAGAAAGAAATCACCTGTCTTCCTACAGCACAATCCAGTGTCATGATTGGCTTGCTGTGTTGCACTTTTGGGCTGGACCGAATGGGCACACGATACATCATGCACGGCGCTACGTTATGTCTTGGTTTAAGGCTGCATGAGGAGTGTCCTTCTTTCCTTGAAGACACTGTCGACGAGGATGTCGAGTCGCTTCACAGGTGTCATAGACTAGTCGCATGGGCTGTATTTGATGTTCAAGCGTACGTTCCTGCTCCAGATTCCCCTCCACACACACGCTGACGCACTACAGACTGGCTGCGCAAGTGTATCGGAAGGAATCGGCGTGGAAGCGGCCACCGTCTGTCAGGTTCTCAGCGACCGAAGCGGCGGCACTAGACGATGGCGATGAATGGAGTCCATACCCGTTTCTCACCCCTATTTTCAGGCCGTTTGTGCATACGGCCGCGAGAGCTCGAGGCGGTCTCGTGATGATTGTCAATGACATAGCGGCTTTTGCGTTGAGGTTTCCAGACTCACCTCTGGACCAACAGGACTGGGAGTACGGCTTTCAGCTCTACGGGAAGCTCCTGAACTGGCGGGCCAGTTTACCTTCCACCGTCACCCCGGATGAGAATACGTCGCCCCATATTCTCACGTTACAGTAAGTCTAGACACGCTTCTTCGTTTATGCTTGTACTTACCATGTGGCGACAGCATGTACTATCACGCGACAGTGGTCTCATTATGCGAAATCTTTAATCTCTATTCTAATCCGACGAACAATCCATTTGAGACGGAGTTTGACACCGAGGATGCCAAATTACAGGCCATGGGGGTCATCGGATCTCTCATCCTGCTGTTCCAGACTTGCCATGGATTCAAGTCCTTGCCGATCGTCATGCTCCACTACTTCTGTGCGGCGGGCGTACATTCTGTCTCCCAACTGCGCCCTCAAGACCCGAAGTGGAGCCTCGTCCTGGAGAGCTGCGTGGTCGGGCTCTGGCACATGAGTCTCGGATGGGGCCGCCTGTGCACCGCCTTCCTCCGAACCATCGAATTGGTCCTCAAGGCGACCAACCCCGACCCATTCCTCATCTCCCCCAAGGTCCGAGCCGTCATGCAACAGCTGAACACGAATCGATGGACGGCGACGGACGTGAAGTCCTTGGCGGCGGACTATGTCGTGTATCATGTCCCGAAGTCCGAGGAACAGGGCGCCGCTGCGGGTCCTCAGCACCTGGCCCACGGGCTGCAGAGTCTGATAGCTGCGATGGATGAACACTCTATCAATGAGAAGTGATGCGCCATGCGCCTCAGATAAGGTTATCTATAACACGACTCATGTGGACATCACCAATCTGCACCTACTCTTCGTTCATGGTTAGTATGGTTCATAACACCGATACATCTCGACTGAAGACTCGGCTCCATTATGCAACTCATCCTTGTCATCAACAATCCACGACCGTGGAAACATGGGGACAGATGTCTACAGACATACATCTCTATATGCTGCAAGCCCAGGACGACCGCAACACATGCAGCGTTGAAATCACGAGCATGTTCGGTCCGGTCTCTCGCACGTGGTTCTGTAGTCAGCACGGTATCAGGCCCAGCATCTACAATATGATTGTTAGCGGTAGCGAGCCTCTGAATTTTAACTCGTCTATCCGACGGTTGACTGGGTTAAGGCGGTTCTCGAGCACTGCGTATCCATTGGTAGAAAGGTCATCTCGGACATGCAATATGTAGTGTGCTGCTGGTGACTTGGTGGGATCAGTTTCTCTTGTTTGTAGTCTGTTGCTCATGAGGTCTGTATGCCGCTTTACAGTTAGTATTACTGTGAGGTCAAATACCTCGAGCATAGCTTTCTGGCCCCAATAACCATATTCATATCGGGGGGAAGAGCCATAAGTCCAACAACCATACAATCCACCTATTGAGTTGCTGGGCCTAAAGGCAAGTATATGAGTATATGTGCATATATCATCCAGACAATACCAAGAACTCAATCAACAGTAACTGATATATTCCAGCTCCAGCTCCTGCTCCAGCTCAAGCTCAAGCCCAAGCCCAAGCCCCGTTACAACTAGGTAGTTCAATTCACTACAAGGTACCTCCCAAACTCCAAACTCCAAACACCAATCCCTCCGCACACAACCCACTAAATACAAGCTGACAAACCCCAAACAAACAATAAACCGAACCAAGGTATCATTATCATCATCCCTTCCCCTTCCCTTCCCTTCCCTTCCTCTGAGGTTAGCACATCGACCCCCTCCCTCCCTCTCACTTCTACCCCCCACATTCCCCATACCACATTCCCCATCCCCCATCCCCCTAAAGTAAAGTATAGCACATCATCCCCTTCCCCTCCCCTCACATGAATCCCAAACCCCGCCCGGAAAAGGGGCTAAGGGATCTACTCCCACCGCCCCCCGCCCCCCAAAGCCCCCAACCGATTCGCCGTGCGCTGATCCAACAGCGCCGCCGCCAATTTGCGCGACCCGGCCGCGGTGCCTCGCTGGGCGCGCTGCATGCGCAGCTCCCGCTCGCGTTCCCGCTCGCGCGCTGCCGTGTACGCGTTCACGGAGGCGGAGGCGGTGGCATTGCCCCCTGCTTTTTTGATTCCGGCGGGGTTCACGGCCCCGTGGCCGGAGGTCATGGATGCGGCGCTACTCCGTCGACTTGCTGGTCCTGCTCCCCCTGAGGATGAGGAGGAGGAGGAGGAGGCGGTGGTGCTGCGCCGGAGGAAAGGCGGGGGGCGGGTGAAGCCGAGGCCGAAGCTGCTGCGGTCCTTGGTGGTGGTGGTGGTGGTGGTGGTGGTGGTGGTTGGGGAATCCGTTGCGAAAGCTTGTTTGCCTCCGCCTGTGGATGAGGAGGTGGAGTTGCTGGATGCTTGGCGGAGGAGGGCGAGGCGGTCGACGACGGGGCCGCGCGTGCGGCGTGGGTGGTGGGTGAGGAGGTTGCTTGGGGGGGTTTTTTGTTGGTGACTGGGTCCGGCCACGGCGGCGAGTTCGTCGTCGGAGTTATCGGATGCGAAGTCGGCGGGGTCGAGGGTGGTTTCTTCTGGTTGGTTGTGGTCGTGGTCGTGGTCGTGGTCCAGGGAGGCGTCCTCGTGGAAGGAATCGTACTCGTGCGTCTCGGTCAAAAAGCTTAGGGTCTCGCGGATCTCGGCCAGCGTCGCGGGTTTCTTGGACATGGCGGAGGCGGGCTTGCGGCGGAGGTGGGGCGGGGGTCGGTTGTAGGTGGACTCGGTGCTGGGGTCGAGGGGGCGTTTTCTTTTGTTGTTGATTTCGGAGTTGATGGTGTTGTCGGGTTGCGATTCTGAGGGTTGGGGGTTGCTGTCTTGTTGACTCTCCTCGTCCTCCCCCTCCTCCTCGAACTCTAGCCCCATGTCCTCCTCGTCGTCGTCGCGGTCCTCCACCGCCCGGAAGAAGGCCGCTTTCTTCGGGTTCTCGGCGATCTCGCCCATCTTCTCGTCCGCCAGAAGCGCCTTGCGCATCCGCGCGAACTCGCGCTGCTTCTCGCGGCGCCGCGCCAGGAGCTCGTCGTCAGAGTCGTCCAGGTCGAACTCGTCGTCTGCGTTGGCGCCGCGGCGCCGCCGGAGGGCGCCCGTGGTGATGTCCTTCAGGAGCTTGGCGACTTGCTTTTCGTCGGTGGTGCGTTGGTGGTGTCTAGTGTGTTCGTGGTTAGTTACCGGAAATGAAAGGGGAAGGGCAGACTCACGCATTCAGGGCGGCAAGTTGCTTCTCGTCAACTGTCTCCCCGCTGTGGTCGTTGATCATCGCTCGGTCGTAGGCGTTCTCCTCGTCATCGTCGTCCTCGTCGCTTCCGCCGCCCAGTCCGGCGTATTCGTCGTCCGACTCCTCGGCTGCTTCTTCCACCACGTCCTTGGCCTTGCTCTTACTTTTGTCGAAGAGGACGGCAGGCTTCTTGTTCTTCTTCGACGCCTTCATGATGTTGAAGGCATTGGCGTTGATTTCGAAGTCTCCGTTGTCTTCCTCTTGTTCTTCGATCATGGAAAGGTCAGCGGCGCGACCACCACGCTTCAAGTGGCGCATGCTTCTCGTGGGCACTGGGGACTGGTTCTGGTCCACGATGACGGTTTCGATGGTCGATTGTGGCGTGCCGAGGAAGCGCTTCGACGGGTCAAACGGCGAGAGAATGAACCCTTCATCCTGCGTCGGGTCGGGGATCTGCGAGAAATTCGAGACGGAGCGTGGAGCCGGGGATTCCGACACCCGCGCGATGGACGGGGCGTAGTGAGTGAGGATGTCATGAGACTCGGCCCGGGGCACCTGGCTGTCCTTGATGATCACATTGGAGTCGGACTCGTGGAGTCCAGGCTCGGGCAACGTGCTCGGCAGTGTGGGAGCAGGCGTCTGATGGCTGCGCTGGGGGCTTCCGGCTATGGTGCCCGCAAAGGCTTGCGTCAAGCTTAGCAGGTCGTTGGAGCTCTGCGCGGGGAGGTGAGGCCGGTCGACAGACCGGGTTCCAGGAGTGGTGGCACCGATGATGGGCTTGGCTGGGGTTTTCGGCTCTTGCACATCGTCCTCGTCCTCGTCGTCGCTGATTACCCGAGTCTGTCGCTTGCGTCTCTGGGTAGAAATATTCGTCTCCTCGATCGACACGACTTCTGACTTGTCGTCTTCCGATTCATCCCCTTCGTCGGCTTCAGAGTCGACCAATCCATCACCGCCTCCTTGTGCGTCTGCCATTTCCTCGTCTTCGTCGTCTTCGCCGTTCTCCCCATCCTCTGACCCCGAGTATTCGAAGTCCTCGTCCTCGTCATCGTCGTCGCCGTCGCGCTTGGCAGCTTTGCGTTCTTGCTTGGCAATCGCGTCGGCCTCCATGCGTGCCTTCTCAACCAGGTTCTCCAGCTCGTCCTCCATGGCCGCGCGCTCTTCCGCCGTCTCGATGTGAATACCCTTGGCTCTGAGCTCTTCGATCCTCTCCTGTCGCTCCCTGGCAGCTTGCTGTCTTGCCTTCAGGAGCAACGTGGCAGAGAGCTGAGCCCCGTTCATGCCCTTGGATTTGCGGTTGGGCGAGGTCAAGTGCGCCAGAGCTTTCAACTTGATCATTGAAGCCGACTCCTGCAGTTTCTTGGCGGGGAGGTTCTCGAAAGCCGCGATTCGGCGGCATTTGGCGGGCGATGTAACAATCTCCAGGTCACTGTCCGAGTCGTCTTTTTGATGGCGTGCCACTTCTTCTCGTGATAGCCTGACGCGGACCGCAGGCAGGTTCAGGGTCTTCTTCTCTTTGAGGTGTGTTGCATCTATTTTCTGACCTGTCGGCCCCACCTCCATTCGAGCCACAGCCGGTTCCTCGGGCTGCGTTGGTGGGTTGGCGAGAATCTCCTTGAGCGTCGGGAATTCGGGCTCAGCTGGATTCTCGTCTGTTTCCTCCGTAGCAGACACCTTGTCCGCCGGCCCCAGGACCGGCGACGTCCGGGGCGTCTCCTTGTCTTTCTGTGCCTCGACATCCGACGAATTCTGCGAGCCCGCCGCGCTAGATGAGGTTTCGCCAGCTGGGGGTGCAGCTTCTTGGGGGACAGCCGGCTGTCCGAAGTTGAACCGCGCGAAGAAGCTCTCCTTGGTGATCTTCTTCTTCGTCTGCGCCTGATGCGCCAGCTGCATGTTACGGCTCATCCGCTGCGTCTCGCGGTTCATCTCCTCCAGGGCCTTTTTGCTGGCCTTGCGCGCCGCAGGCCGCGTCTGCTGTTGCTTTTTGGCTGTGGCTTCGGCGCCCGATGATGCACCGTCGCCGTCGCCCTCACTCGCAGACAAAATCATCTCCGAATCAGATTGTCCCTGCTGCCTCGCAGCCCGCGCGGCAGCCCGTCTCTCCGCCTCAGCCTGTTCCTTCTCCTCGCGCTCCTTGCGCTTCTGCGCCACGAGAGCCAAGAACCGGGCGTTCTTCTTCGGTTGATGTGCTTCGTCCTCGCCGTCCGTCGTGTTGGCATTGTCCTCGACATGATCCCGCCCCTTGACAGGCGACGACACGAAAAGCGGAGAGTACGCGCGGGTCCGCGGCTCCTCATCATCTTGATCGACTGCAGGCTCGGGAAGTACGGTGGTAATCCCTCTCCGTCTCGGACCAGCCGTCGGGAGATCGTCGTCGTCGTCGTCGTCCTTCTCCTCCTCATCGTGTAACGCCCTCTTAACCCTCTCAAACGCAGTCGTCCCCGATTGACCATTAGTACCTTGTAACCGCGCCGCCATCCGCCCCTTAGGCCTCACAATCTCATCCTCCTCCTCATCCTCAACGTCAACCATCGGCGCACCAAACGAGGAAATCGAGCTCTTCTTCAACGCGTCGCTGAGCTTGGTCGTGGAGCGATCGCCCCCCGCCCCAATTCCTTTCTGCGTAGCATTATTACGGTTCCTGTCCTCACCACCGGAATCGCTATCGCTATCAAACGCAGCGAGCATGGCTTTGATCTTGCGGCCCGGGGTGAGGAGCATTTCGGTATCTGTGCCGGGGGACGCGGCGCGCGTCGAGCGCGGTGTGGAGGGTGTGGAAGCGGACATTATATCGTATGTTTTCGGGCAGGGGTATCATAGACGTTGCGTTTTAATTTTGAGGGAGGGTGGAGGTGAGCATTTCCGATTGTTAATGGGAAGGGTAAGGTAGGGGAAACTGGCTGTAATCTGGAGAACGTGAAGTGGACTAAGGGTCAGTGAGAGTGGTTGCGTTGAGTTAATCAAGGGCGCCGCGGAGATGGATTCTGCGGGCGGACGGACGGGTAGGCG